GCACTTGTTACTAGTAGCTTCTTGTTACTACTAGTAAGGCACTTGTTACTAGTAGCGATGCACTTGTTACTAGTAGCTGGGTTTCCGTATCTTCCATCCAACATGGGGTTAAGGGCAATACCTGTCAACTGTGAACATTGGACATCAACCGGAACTGTGCTTTTGGCGACATGGCTGTCCCAATCTCAAAGCTCAATAGTCAGATAGTCCATGTCATCAACTGCTGCCTTTCATCGGGCTGACAGAATGTCTCGAGAGAGGCGAACCTCACTTGACTCCCTCACAGTCTTTTTCAAGCAAACTACATCATCAAGGTGGAGGATATGATCAGTTAGCCCCAAGAAGCCAGTCATCGAAGTCATCCGCAGCTTGACTAAGGTGAAAATGTTAAACCCTTCGACGACCATTGAGAAAGGTGCCTTTGAGGGCTGCTCGAAGCTGCACTTACAGAAGGGGCGCTCACGCTTTGCGCGAGCGAAAAAGTGTCGCAAGGCCTTCCGGGCCAAAGCGTTCAGGGTGGTGTCGGACTGCGCAGCCCCACTATTGGAGTCAACTCCAAGGTGTTCCTCTTCAGTGGGGAACATGTTTTTAACATCTCACATCCCTTTTCTTTTTTTTTGATTTCCTTTAAAAGTTGGCCCACACTTAATTAAGTCAGGGCTAAATGAACTACTGGGTAACCTAGGACGCAGAATAGCTCACGCTTCCAGGGCGGGGGGAGCGGGAGCTTCCTTGAAGAAGCGCTCGCACCCTAGATTTTAGGGAAAAGAGCTGTTGCGAGAGAACTTGGTTGTTGATTCCAGTCCTTCAAAGACGACTATTTACCGTAAGTTGTAGTGACACTCCAATGCCCAACCATGAGGTATGAATCATGGCTTTGCTCCAACCCCTTTTCAGAGTGTGCGTGATTTAAGGGTGCATTTTCTTGGAAGTGGCACATGTCATTTGGCAACATGAGACATTTGCACGAGCCTGGCCCAGGTGGGTCCTGACATCCTCCGGATCTCCTTGGTCTTTCTTACGATGTCTCTGACTGAGTTTTGGGCTTCCCTCGCTTGTCCAGTCCATTCTTGCTCGCCATTCCTATTAGGTTGGAGCCATTGCAAGCGCTACTAGGAACAAGAACGCTACTAGGGGCTGACGCTACTAGTAACAAGGGTTTCCTGGTTTTGAGGGTGTGAGGTCCGTGGCACCACGATCTCAGGTGCTTGGCGCTGCTGTGCGCTTCACGGCTGGAGACCTTGGTGGCCATGGTGGGTAGCCTGTGCTGTGCACCCTTGGCCGCCGGGACACAATTCGAATAAACCATTTGTTGAAGAAGTGAAGAAAGAACACAAAGTTAGAAGTGAACACAAAGTGCGATTCTCAAATCTTGACCTTAATTAGAAGCTGAAACATTTCAGGCAATGGCCTTTCCTCCAGCCCTTCATCATGTGCTCGTGGCTTTGGCAAAGAAGGCTGCCACTTAGGGAATTCCAACCTTTTCCAACCATCAGACGGGGGTGGGTTGACTGGAGCGAGCATCTCAGAGCTTCATGGGGATAAACCCAAATGGCAAGGTTGTTTGTGATAAGGTGTAAGGTTTAAACCTTGAAGAAATACAGCGTTTGTAAGAAAGGCTGAACACGCTCTCGTGGCAGATTCCAGACCTCTTAGATGGTTTTGGTATGTTTTGGTTTCCGAATTGGATGTTAGGAAGCAATGTGCAAGAAGAACAGCGTTTGCCAAGACCCTCTTGGACTCACAATGGCATGTCAGTGTGAAAGTGGGCCACGGGGTTTTAACGGGGAACGGGTCGTACTGATTTTGAGTTGCAAGAAGGGCTGGCCAGCATAGTTTTGTGCAAATATATACTTGTTACTTATATAATCTTATATACACCAGGACGCTACTAGGGGCTCCTGGCATCGCTACTAGGAGCAAGGACGCTACTAGGAACAAGGGTTTCCTCGTTTTGTCAACTTGCGACCGCATCAGGTTAGATCCTTGGAGTCGGGTCTGATTCTGTCGACATTAAAGGACAGCAAAACTTGGAGCACCGCTCTTGTTCAAGGCGTTACCGGTTTCCTCTTGGTTCCTCTTGTGACGATTTGACATCTCCAGCCCACCAAGGTGGGTGGCCAACGTTATGTGGACCTTACCTTGGCATTGTTAGGACTCCTGTGCGGCACTGAGTCAAAGTTTGCCCCAGAAAAAGTGGTTGTCCGCCCCATAAGAAGAAAATGCCGTCGTTTGGAAGACCTTTGTTTGATTGGTATGTATGGCAAATCTTCACATCCAAAGGAGAAAGCAGATGTGGCGAATCCTTGGCTCCACTGTCGATGAACACCCGAATTGATGCAGCGCGTTTTCGCGCAACAGGCTTGCCGCAGTCTCATCCACCCAAGCTGCGCTCAACTGGAACTCACATCAGGAGCTGGGCATGTGGAAGACATGTTTACTGGTTGCTTCGACGTTTAATCAGCAGGCGCATGACAGTGAGGTGAACCAGACATGAGAGGCTTTTCAACGGGTACCCGTCCTCCATTTGGCTCTTCATGCTAACATGCCGCATAGACCTGCACGGGTTACAAGCACTGTATCCGGGTGTGTATCCGTGTGATATGTTTTTGCACGATCTGAAACCAACTCAAGGAGATTCACTACTTCTCCTGCAGCGGCAACTGATTGTCCTAAAGGCCCGACCCTTTCCTGTCTGTGTTTCCTGCCTTTCCGGTCTGTGTTTGCGTCACCTGTCCAGAGTTGCCAAAGACATGTTCGGTTCTATTGGTTTGGAAAAAACTACCAGCTGAAGGGTTTGGTTTTGGTGAAGAACACAGTCAGCCACACCGCCAAGAGAACCCAAACGAAGCAACCCGAAATGGGTGAAAGACAATTGCCACACAGACATATGGACGAAATCTGCCTCAAAATGCAATAAATGATACTACCGCCGGTAGATTCCGGCGGAGCCAGGTCCAAAAACGAACGTCTAGGAAGAGATCATGATGGTCATGAGGTGATGATGTGTGATGTGCTCATTTGTAAATTTTATACCTTATTTGTTTGGTGATTGATTGACGGAGATGCAGTGTGGAGGTCTGTGGGGCGGTTCACCATAACCCTGACATTTGCCGGCCTCATTCAGTTATGCATGCCGCACCTGTGAGGTGTGATTGGATGCCCAATGGCGTCAAGAAGACTTGTGTGTTGCATGCGTGAAATAATGAGTGTGCTGCGCGTCGGGGAGTGAGAGGTGCTTGCCACAGCTACAGTGCAGCACTTCTCCCTTCACCGGGGGTTTGGGCGCCGACACCAAACTTTGAATGGCGCTGCAGATTTTGTCAGCAGTCTCAAGCACTGATTTAGTAGATCAGCGTTTCAGTTCTTGCTGCCGACCCGAGACATTTTACCAAACAAGCAGCTTCAAAGACTGTCAATGAACAAGACACCTCCCTTTTTTCTCCAATTGCTCTTTGATATGCTTGCGCTTCCACACACACACACATGGTTTTTAGAACTGAAACTGTAGGATCAGTTATTGAGATCCTAACTCAACTCCTCCGTTGAGGTCGACAACAGATCAATGCATCAAAAAATGGAGCCGCGCAGCACGTTAAGAATTGGACTGACAGCGTGCAATACCACCGGAACCGGAAATCAGTAGCATTGCAACCAAGCAAAGCAAAGCTACCATTCTGAAGCAAAGCAAAGTGCCCAGATGACGCCTGAGATTTCGATGGCGGCGACCTGGCTTTGTGAGGCGGCCACAGCGGCGCTCACGGTGGTCTACTGCCTGGTGGTGAGCTTGACCGGACGAGAAACGGACTGTGACAGATCCAAACACCGCGCGATGCAAACAAAGGTTGCGTGCGATTGTGGATTTTTCTTGTCCAAGTATGGCAGGCAGATCTCTAATCAAAGTGCTGGTTGGGCCCTGAATCGTGTAGATCCATCATGGTGACGGTGAAACCCATGATCAGGAAGCGACTTCTGAGACCTTTTGAACAGTTTACCGAGTCACTAAGTGATTCCATTGGGCATGCAGAGATCCCCCCATCCTTTGCCCTTGCCCTCAGACATTCTATTCTTTTTGGCGAATGGAGTTCGAAGGTCAAGACTCTTGCACTGTTCCTGCTCTTCGGTGGTGAAAGTGTTTGAACATGGATTTCCCTCTCAGTTTCTTGCGCTTTTGTTGCCGGCTGTAGGTGCTTCATGACGTGTTGGCGGACCGCAGTGAACAACGATGGAGCTCGGCCAATTGGCCCCTCAGCATATTCCATGGTTGGTGTTGATCGGCTGTGTTCAAAGTGGGGTAATGGAGGCAAAGGACTCCTTGTTCCGGTTGGGCCGGTTAGGCTACGTACACATTGAAGATTATTTGATATACTCTTCCTGGAACCCCTAGGTACGAGAATGGCTTCTGCGTCTCGAGCTGGTCAATAGGCGGCCAAGGCAGGAGTCCGATTGGAGGGCATCATGGTTTTCACAATAAAGTCCTATATATAGAATGCTTGAGAATTGGTTTGCCGTATTCATTTTTGCCCGAGTTCTCTACATTGTGGACGTATTCCATCGCATTTCGGTAATTGCAAGACATGTCCTCAAGAGTTGCCCAAACGTCTCAATTGGGAGGTTTAGCACAAACTGGATCATGAGACTACGGCAGTTTTTTCTCATCAATGAGGCCTAACGAGCCATGGGCTGAGCTGTCTGCTGGACGTTTTCCTGGGCCTCGTTCTCATGGTCTGCAACGACAGGGCCCGTCGGCAAGGCAGTTTAGAAGGCTGGCACGTGTAGAGGGGAAGTGCATCGAGTGGTCCGATCTACAGGATGTTGTTCAATTATGTTGTAAAGAGGGAATGGACCCTCATTGGGATGTTTGTTGTCCAGGTGCCGACTTGCAAGAAGATCGGAAAGGGACCCTGTGGAAAGGTTGTCGCTGTGGGCCTGTGGGGATCTTTGTTTCTCCGCATATGCTTGGAGCTCCACAGTTATTCACAATCAGGAGCAGGCAGCCAGGACTTTAGGTGAGTGCTTTCTCTGAGGGATTCTTTGCTTCTCGACGTGTCTTTCCCAACTCATGCAGGCAAAGCGGCAATCCCGCTGCAGCTCGCCATTTTCGTTTCATTCTTCACCATACTTCACGGCCTGGCGCATGGCGGCATCGGTGACTTGGATAAGAGTGGCGCAGTAGCACTGCGAACGTATGTTGGAGGTATGAAATACTACAATAGATGTGGCAAAAGAATGGCACAAGAAGTGTTGAACACGGAAATTTTATTGGAATACCATGACAACCCGTCAGCGAGCGGCATGACCATCAATTAGCCACCGAAACGCATTCCACCCAGCAGCTCCTGTGACCTAAAGAGGCAAGAATCATTGCGCTTCAAGGAAGTACAGCCCTGTTGTTCCCCATGAATCCCAACGCTACAACCTTGTTAAATCACAGACTAAGAGTTACTACTAGCTTCTTGTTACTACTAGTAAGGCACCTGTTACTAGT